ATAATGTATATAAATAATTACAATAATTGCTACATAAAAACAAACAGTGAATTCAGTTTCACACTGCACCGAGCTAACACTATAGACTACTTTGGTTCCTGCCTTCTTAGTACTGGGTCAACAGCCCAGACCAGAGCCAGCCCGTCATCTCAGGGACCGATTCCCTCCTCACCTGCCTTAGTTGCACTCACCAAATATTCTACTCAAATTAAGTAAGGCTCAGGCCAATTACATGCAGCCTGTGTTAATTTATACACAAGAAACGCATCTACCCAGGCCTTCTATTTTGTATCAGTATACAGGCTACTAACACAATGCCTTTTCCCTCTCATATTTAAACCGTTCAAGTAGTCTCCTAACTCAGTGCTCTGACTCAAACATTTTACCAATTTAGAGAAATTACAGTCAATAGCTCGCTAATCATCGCAGGTCTCCTCCAAAACAAAGCACTAAACTTTTTGGTTGTCACGAGTCAACACTGCAAGCTAACAGCTGTCACAGCAGCTTTAAGGTTGGTTTATCCATGGTGATGCTAAAGAAAGTAACAGGATGACAAACATAAACATAACAGGTAATTAGCCAGGATCCGAGAGTGGAAACTATCCCCAAGCCGAAAACTGCTGCTGCAAAGATTACTTCTGCGAGGTTCAGCTTTCTGAAGTACGTATCTATTTATACTGCTGTTACAGCTGATGTTGATATTTTCACAATTAATAAAACCTGGCCAAGAAAAAAATATATACAAAAAATAGATACTTCACAGTTTTGTAAGCCCTGAGAAAATGTCATTCCTGGATCAGAGGACAGTATTGTCCTTTTTTGTGCTACTGTCAGATGATGGGGAGGGAAGGGAAGGAGAGACAAAAGAGATCATCTGAACAGATGAGTCTCTCAACTTACACAGTACAGAGGAAGGAGTGGAGTGGGAATGCTCAGACTCAAGCGAATGACTCTGTGAGTTTGCATTTTTCGTGGACTTGCCCGCTGAATTGATGGAAAGAAACACAACATATGAACAAACAAAGATGACGAGGTAGAGGGTGATCAGAATCCGCAGCAGGCACTGACAGCAGGAGCGGCCGCTGGGGCACGGCAAGGGTGGTGACCAGTGAGATGAAGAAGCAATGGAAGAGGAGGAATGGTGGGTGGCACATAACCTCTCCATGTCACCCTCCTTTGTGAGAGCTGTATGAGGGTCAAGTAGATGTGAAGGAAGAAAAAGAGAAGGCCAAAAGAAAAAGAACGATAATTTAATTACAAGCAACATGAACTGATAAAATCTTTGAGCACACAAACAATGTTAATGATGTACTGTGGGGAGGTTGTGTGGGTGCCCAGGAACAGTCGTGTAAAGGTTGTAGCCATAAATGACTCTGTTCAGATGCCAGCGTAGATTTATTCCCCTACCCAGTACTGAGATATACCGGGTTTTCAAAGAGCTTTCAAAAAATTGTTCTTAGAAATTTGATGTTTTTTCTTTCAGGAATCTACGTTCCAAATGGATTAGTTTAAATTGGTTTCTTTCTCCTGGTAATTAAAGTAAAAATTGACAGGTATAAAATGAAATAAATTAGTAAAATATATGAAAATACATGTCTCCTGAATGGATTCATCCTTTGAAGTGATGCACCTTGCAGATGCATGAAGTAGCACAGACTAGCCAGAATTTACCTGATTTCTAAGTACTCTACCAATCAGCAAGTTTTCCCACTGGGAATCATCATCATTCTTCCTAGCACTTTCATTAATTCATTTCCAGGGGCAAAAAATTACCATGAAAAACTCTAGATTTCCTGACCATGATAAATTTAACAATTTGGCTTTTTCTTCTTTCTTTCTATTTTTAGAAGCCTGTGTGCATTGCCGGCCAAAATAACGATGGCATTCAACAGCATTACTGAAAAAACCGTATCACTCTTCTATCAAAGAGATGCTGCCAAAATCTTGTTACTACAGGAGAAGAAATACCACAAGCAGTCCCAGGAGACAACGTTGCTTATGGTCCAGTTTTCCTACGTTCTTTCTGTCTGCTCCTGTCCTTACATTTAGGAAAGAACACTGTTGTACAAATAAGCTCATGATCAATGGTTAATATCAGAAATTTATGTTAGCAGGGAACCTGAATTACAGCCTCAAGTAATTTCAGACTCAAAGTCTAGAATTAGCTTATTCCTTTATTATTAAAGCTCACTATTGTACGCATTCCCCAATAGACTGGAGGCAAGAATCTGTTCCTAAAGATGTATTTGTGACAGCTGATTAAAGAATTGCATTTTTTTAATTTTTACCTTTCTTAATGAATTGTAAAAATGATGAATGAATTTGTAACAATATGTACAGACATGCATAAGAACACACATCCACACAGACTCACGGGATCCACGCAACTTTAACACAACTTTAAAGAGTCAAATCCACAAAAATAAGAAAACCACTTGATGAAGAGCTCAATGTTTTAAACATGTGCGGGCTGGCAGTCTGGACAAAGGAACGAACCGTGCCCCTGTTTGTGTAATCTATGCATGGTGTAAGAGTAACAGGAGGAGGAATCAAGCGCACTGAATGCACGCCTTTGCAAAGAGGAGTCATTCCTGTGTTGTGCTCCACATCACAAAGAAAAACAAAGAGATTTTTAAGGTCCTTGATCACCTAGGGTGGGAAATATTTCTCCGAGATCTCAAATCTGGCGACAAGCACCACCTCGAGCATATGCATAAGGACCCAGAGAATCAGCAAATTGAGGGAATTCTCCCTGCTACCCCTGAAATCCATTCTTCCCCAGCAATGTCTTATCTCCGGCTGACGCCAGTAGTTGTTCGTGACAGGAGAACAGCTTTCTCATCATTGTCCTCAAAAATCTACATCCAGAAGTCAAGTTTGGTGTATGGGAAAAATATCTTTCCTAAGTGCCTTGCTAAAGTCTGAAGCTTGAGCTTATAATAAGTGTCAGGGACTGCCTATTCCCTGAATCATTCCAGAAATTAGACCCTGGGGGTACTGTTAGCTTTAATTTATAATAACACAATCTGAAAAGCAGCCTCCAGTGGAAAGACTGGAAGTGTGAGACAAATACTAAAAAGTGAAAACCAAGCAAGCGTGCAAGCAATTAATAACAGGGAGACCACACTTGTTCTGCAAATAAACAGAAAATGGAATCCCTGTACTCCAGAATAAGATGTGCACGCAGTGTCTGGGGGTACTGCTGTGTGTCAGGCTACGGACCTGATGCTGAAAGAGCTGCTTCAATGCGCAGGGTTATGGTGAGCGCCCCACATGGCAGCAGTTGGAGCTGTCCTTCTCAGGGAGGAGACAGCATCGTGCCTTCCCACCCAAGGAGGGGAAGAGCACCACGACACTGCTCTGCCTCCTCGCCTGCAAGCACAGGAAACATCGCTCAGCTCCTCCTTCGAGTCTCCAGCAAACACACAATGCAACCCTCTCGCTGCGGTGCAGCCTCGTACCGCCTCATCCACTTTATGCCCTTTGCATCAGGGCCACGGGTCAGGAGCCTACGGCTAGCAGAAAACTTCACCTGCTAAACATTTGACAGCTGTCACAAAGCTACAGTAAAAGAAGGAGCACAAGCAGCAATCTTGTCTCTCAGCTACGCGATGACTGCAAGGTCCTCGTTTCAGGTTTGGGAACCGAGGCCATCCAATCTGCTCTTAACTGTATTACTGCAGAATCGTATAAAAGAATTAGGCAAAACGCTTTCACTGTTGTTTTTCTTATAATTGTATTCCTGAGATACAATTCTGTGTGCTAAGCTTCAGACAGAATTTTATTACAATCCTACCATTACAAGATCACGGTGCAGAGGCCCTGTAATGAAATTATTAATTCAATAAGTTTAGTTGCTACACTACATATAATGGTTGGAAGGAAGAAACACGCAGTGTTATGAAGAAAGGCAAACTACACTGTATTTTCCTCTGCATCGGCTGCGGATATCTGGCAGTACCGCCAGTTTTATCAAACGTGCACAGCACCTAATCTACCAGTCAGAAAGTAAGCACTGGATATTCCTGATACGATCCGAACTGCTTTATGTTTGAATCTCTTCTAAATTCTAAAATGTTTTCATGCTCTTCAGAGGCCAACTAAGCTCCTCAGCAGATCCAAGTCTCTGTTTTGGGGCACAGCTTTGCTAATACACGCATTTACCAGTGTCTCAGGCATTATACTACTTCCAACATACAGCGACTCCCAGATTACAATGGTTCACTAAGAATTCTCTTTTCAATTTTCTGTGTTTTATCTTTACTATCACCTCTGGCTTACATTACACTTGTACATCTCATGTTTTTCTTTGAGGCTGAAAAATAATCTTTTCTGTGAACGGGAGATACGCAAATCTAATAGGTTTGGGGTTTTTCAAACCATTTCTTTTAAATCATAATGTTACTAAAGTAAATATAAGTAACATCCCAGCATAATACTTAGAGGAGAAAAAATTGAAACAAAACCAATACCTGTGAAGTTATACAAATAATTTTATAAAAAAAGATTATTGATTTCATGTTTTTAAAGAACAAAATAAGATGAAAATAAGTATATGGACAGAACAAAAGAGAAACATGTAAAAACACTGGCATCTGAACAGAAAAAAAATTAAAATGGTGACATAAAAAGAACCCCAAACAAACCCAAAACACGAATGCAAGCTAAAAGAACATAAACTAAGTATGAATTCTAAAGCACTGACTTAAGCATTTTAACTCTACTACTATTATAACTGGAACTAGTATTGTAGTTAATAAGCAATAACTTTATATTCCTCATTCCAAAACATCGTGGCAAATGGTCTTTTGGGAAATGAGGAGTCGGAAGTAACACGTCAGAAGTAACACAGAAGAGCATAAAGTAATTTCTTTTCAACAAAGAAAACCAACATTCTCTCTTAAGAATTACTAGGAGCTTCTGCGTTCAATGACTTAAAAACCCACACTGACGTAAGTCACGTTATTGCTTCTACGAATGTTTCAAGCTTAAAATCGTACCTTTCACATCCTCATCTTCAATGGTTGTATTGGAACTCTCTGTTGATTCCTGTCGAGAAGTAAATATAAGTAGACTGTATAAAACAAGGCAAGCCTTATTTGCATGCCTCCGAAAATTACCGTTAGTTACAGATATCATGCAAAGCCTTGAAGCAGGGTGGGACGTAATTCACAGACAAATGGTCACACACCGATTAAGACATTTCCACCTGAAACTCGTGTCAAACATTGCCATTCTCTACAGTAGGGAACACAGTTACGTTTCCTGCTGTCTAGTGCTTTTACTTCACAGAATGTAAAGGAACTTATTTTCTTTTTCTTTAACATACAACTGTACAAACTCCATCTGAAACTTTATACGAATTCCCTCAGCCACGAGGAGAGCTTGCCATTTTAAGATGAGTGATTAAACCAACTGTGCAAAATAAGTCATTCCATTCCGACTCTGAAATGTGCAGGCTTCCACATGCTACAATTTATAACAGCTTTTCTGCTTTTGACTAATATATATTAACACAGTCACTCAGTTATTTTCAGGATATTGGATCAGGTTTCATCATTTTTAAGCCATTTTTTGCTAAAAGAAATTTTAGAAGGAGATGGAGAATTGATAAAATATATCACAGCGATTTTGACAAACTAAGGTATCTTTGTAGTGGTATCTGTCCAACAACCGGTCGCTTGGAGGAATGACTTATCTATCAGACAGTTTATACTTAAGCCATCACACTGTTAAAAAGGCAAGGATACTGTATCTTAGTCTTTCATGAGTTACTAGAAACATGAAGTATTACGGGCAAATTCAACAGGGCACTGTCAAATCTAATAGGCAGTTTTAGAAAGCCGTAAAGTTTTTAGCTCTGATTTTAAAAATCTGTATAGTTTATCGAAAAGCATAGCCAATACAATTTTGGTCTTTAAAAATTTACAGCTCAATAGCAAAAGTGAGTATCTGGTCTAACTTTTTATGAGAAGTAGAAAATAGGAGTGGTATTGTATTAACTCTTAAAAGGATTTTAAAATAAAATAATAACAGGTAAATTTGACAGTGTCCTTTGTTTACTGTGTCCTCACAAGGCTGAGCTGAAGGAACATTCAAAACGGTTAATGCATTATTCAGACCTTAAAAAACCAAAACGTATGTGCACCCATCCATAAATAAAATTACATGAATTAATCCACACACAAACAAAACTGAACAAGTCACCATGCTTTTCCTGAACTGGCTGGTGTTAGACGCTTCACTCTACACAGACGTATCATGCTCTATCATTTAAAATATTAGATCAAGTACTTACGAGTAACAACCCCCCCAAATACGAGCTGTAAACACCATGCACAAGCTCACACGGCAGATGTAGCCTGTAATACTGAAGCATCCACTCCAGTTGCCATACTACAAGGATCAGTCTTTCAGAGAAATTTAGGAGTAACTTTCCACATGAAGCGGTTTGCTTGTTTGCTGTGACCTTTTGGGACATTGAGTATCTGAATTGTTCCAATTACGTATTAGCAAGTCAAGTAGATGTAGTCATGCCAATATTTTATCTGGGTTTTCTGGTCTTTAGTGGACTTCAGCAGTCAAGATTAGGCTGGTGTTCAAACACAGGCTGTTCGTTGCCTATGAGTTTAAACTTGGGGAGCTGAAAAAGTGGTAACGTGAAAGGAAAAGCTCTATGTCTGACAGATGCAAGCTACATGAAAGAACAGGATATACAAGCACAATACACACCATCGGCACTTTCATGCTTGAGAAATGTCTGCATGCGTTATTTGTTCACTCAGATTCAATCCTTCTCTTAGGAAACAACCTCAAGTAGTTAAGACTAGATAAATGAAATGCCAATTCTTTAAGTCAACACTGTGAACAGTGATATTTTTGTTGAAGAGTAAATTCTTTCCAGGAAACCTAGGAACACGTGTTATATGTAAATGATGGTATTTCGTGGCCCTTTTCAAGTCCATGCATGAAAAAAACAAAACAAAACATGTTTTAGGAATCAGCCGCCAAATGCAAACATCACAATACACAGGAAAACGAAAAGACCATGAAGAAAACATATAAAAATCAAAAGATCTCTTTGTCACTTGGAATGTTAATTTTTATTTTTTTTTTGAAACTGCTCAGTGATGTTACGGAAGAAAACCAAAGACCTGTGCAAAAGACACGTCACAAGATGATGTATAAGCATGCTGAGAAACCACAGATGGGAAAAACTGAAATGTCATCTTTATCTAAGATGACAACTGCACAAAAAACTTGTCAGTATACTCTCACCACGCTCTGAGAACAGCCTTCTTGGGTTTTACTTAGACTGCAGCATTTTTGGCCGAAAGGGGAGAGACGCCACGCTCCCCGAGCCCGGCTGCGCGGGGTGCTGAGCTCTGCCGACTGCTAATGGCTCTCCCGAGAGCTTCGGAAGCTAAGCCATCAGCGGGACGCACACAACAGATGAACACAGATGAAAACAAGCTCAAAAGACACCGGGTGTAACAAATGCAGGAATGAGAGTGTCCTTGATAAATTCCTGGAATGGCTCTATTTGGCTGAGGACTAGTGGATGAAATGTGTGGTGTGGAAAAGCAAGATGGAGCTGATTCTGTCCGAATACCTTATTTCCATCAGGGTTGTGGATTACTGTAGTTTGGGGCTCCTGAGCGAGAACAAAATAAAGAGAAAAAGAGTTCCCATTGGTAAATGCATTCTCGTTAGCGTGAGGGAGCGCAAGAAGAGCCAGCTCACAAACGCCGAACACTGACAAGAGCTAAAACAAACGTTAACTGTTGCCAGAGGGTGAAACCGGATGTCTCGAATACGGACTTCCTAACAGCAAGCCAGCAAAAAAGACCGTCTCGCCTAACGCAGCGGCATGCAGAGACCTTATTCATGACCAACGTCCGCAGGGCTTTGAAGCTCTGGAGACCGGCAGAGGCTCTCTTTTGCACAAGTGCATACTGAATGCTTTGCGTGTTTTCCTGGCCGAGCCAGGCCAGACAAGGCAGCCAGAAATGACCTCTTTAAGCATGTTTGCTTGTATTAGTATTAAGTGATCAAATAAAAATTCAGAGGAATGGATAATTAAGGATGAGTTAACCAACTCTAAGCACTACCATGTTTTAGATGTAGATTATTAGCAATTGCTGCCCTGGCAGAGCAGCGTGAGAGAGATCTTGGCGTCACTAGAAAGTGTAATTTCACCAAATCCTTTTTCCTTAAAAAAATGATAAAAGAATCTTTGAAGTGGCAGTTAGCCAGCTCGCTTTCAGCATGGACAACTGCACCTGGCTATGTCTGAGAACGACCGCCATATACCGGTGCGTGAAACCTCTTAACTGGTCCTTGGAAAATATTTAGCAATGTATGCTAAGTACACAAAAAAATTCAAGAGGAAAAGATCTCTCCCAATGTGTGTGAATTGTCCACATTTTCAAAGCTATCAACACAGGCAGACAGGAAACCTTACAAATTAGGTTCTTAGTACTGTCATTTATATTTGTGAGCCTTGTCATACACGTATGCCTAAGAAATAGGAGCTACTAATAAAAGCAAGACTGCAATAGAAATGTTCACGAACAGCACTCCAATTAGTAAGATGTTCCTAACAGAGCTTACTAATCATACATCTCCTGCAGATTTAAAGGTAAGAGAAACAGGAAGAAATCTTAAGCGCTAGATGCCTCTCGATCCCAGTGAACACTTGCAAAGTCCTGCTGAGTTTTATGAAATATGGAATGAAAATCTGAATAAGGTCTATTTTATGGTAGCCTAGCAATAATCCTGTTAGCTCTCCTTGATATCAATACTTACACTAAGACAAAGCAGAGAAAACTATAATAGAGCATTGCTTTTTGTTTCTTTTTTTTGATGTGCAAAAGGTTAGCATTAAAAAGATGGAAACAGTCATCAGGCAAGGACGCAAAGCACATTCTACTCACTTTCTGGCACGGCATGCAAAAAATTCAACTACAGTTACGAACTTTACAACTCTACCACATCCAGCTTCCATGTAACATTTTCAATTATTAAACACGCTCTAATGGACTTCCTCACAAAAAAAAAAAAAAGAAGAAAGCATAATTCAAACAAAAAACATTTTTCCAAAACCTGTTTTTAGAAAGCAAACAGAGTAAATGCATGAAAAGCAAAAAAGAAGGAAGAACAAACAGAAGACAGTCAAAAACTTCAAGATAGCATGAGAAGGAAGATTCCAGGTATACCAGCGCCGGGGTAGGAATATTTTCCTTGGGGCTGGTTACCACGTTGGTTTTGTTGTTTATCTGTAGGTATGCAGAAAATAGAAACAAGACAGGCCTTAGAACTCGCGGTAGGCACCGTATCTATACCTCTCTGTATAGAACATCTATATACAGATATAGATATCTATATACAGATATAGATATGGAAATAAAGAATCACAGAAAGATGAACTTATGCAACTGGAAGGAACACTAGGAGTAGAGCCGATAGGTAGCGGCAGCTCCTCCAAACACGCTAGCTACGGGTTTTCAGATGCCTTGTACGAAGGTCTATATAAGGTATAGATGACTTCAGCTGTGACACTTAAAAAGAACAGAGAGCCTTTAAGTAGCAGCTAATCACATATAAGAAGAATAAAGAATTAATATGGGTTTCAAGAGAGTCCTAAATAGCCTCTGAGATTTCTTGACATGCAACAGTATTAAATAATTCCACTCAGTTGTTCTATATTTCTCGTTACCTATCACTACCATAAACAATATTAGATTATTGATAGCTCTCCAGAAATCTACGGATTTGTTCTATCAGCTTCTGGAAACAGATTTGAGTAAATGCAACTGATTCCAGATCTGAAAACACTGGTTTCCCTTTTTTTTTTGGTGTTATTCCAGACAAAAAGAATTGCCAGCTGTTATTTTCTTGCAGTCTCAAGAGTCCTGCAATAACTGTGTATCAGCCTTTCAATTTTGGTGCTATAACCTGAAAGTGTAAGATTTCACATAATAGTATCTTTCATTTTACTCCACATAGCTTTACACATAGGTCATTGTGTTAAGCTTAACACAGTATCAAATCTTCACAGGACTTTTGGCTTTTATTTTTACCGACTTTTAATTCAAATTAAACTGTTTAGCAGTAAGTTTAAAGTTATCTGATTCTTTAGATCCATTTTTTAAGATTCTGCTTTCATAAATACCATGGTATGAAAAGAACGGAAATACTAAAAAATAATGTACCGAGCCACTTTTTTTACATGCACTAAGAAGCAAGATTAAACTCGTTTGGAATACGTAATTTTTTCTTGAACAATAATTAGGAAAAAAACATTACGTACATTTTGGTCACATCTAATTTTAACAAGAGCAGTCCAAAGCGGCATGCAGAACTGGGTGTACAGAGAAATATTGTCTGGAAAGACTTTGAACCAAGGAAAAAAAACCATCTAGTGAACCTTCTTGTCAACAGTATTAATAATAAATGTGCAAAACAAAGGAAAAAAAGTCCAAAATGGTTTCATTAATGGATTTTGTAAGAAGTAGCAAACTTCATTTAATAAAACAAACTCTAGCGATTTTGGGGGGTCAAAATGTATTTTTTCTCCAAAAGAAAAGTCTTTCTAAACCAATCAGAAAATGGTGATATGCTAAGTAAGATCTACAAAAAGGCAGAAAAACAGAGGAAGTCCTACAAGAGTGGGCCAAATTGAGGGGTGCGTGAAACACTTGGCTTCCGATTTAACCTCCCTGACGACTCTCTAGTAGCAGATGAAGCACTGAACACGCGAGCTAACACTTCTGTGCCAAGAGCTTTGCTAATTTCGAGCCTTCGGAAGTTAGCCCCACTGGGGAAATTCTCGGAACGTCGTGTCCCCAGCAGGTTGTGAGGAGTATTTTCCTTTGGGACAGGTGTGGCAGCTGACTTGTGGTTGCAGGAGTTTAGCCTGCTGCCAAACTGATTCTTACTCAGGAGATGTCTAGGTTATGGAAATGTCAACAGGCTTTGCACTGATTAATTAAAGACTGCAAATATCCTTATCTTAATCAGCATTTAACCAGCTCTGAAGAATATAAAGCCATCTCATTAGTTCATGTTTGGGGACACTATTTTGACCCTAAATGTTATTTAGTGATATTTGTGATTTGATTATCTCATATGTGAACCATTCTCTCACACAGAATAATTTTCTTGGATTTAGAACTTTCAATGCTCTACAGCAGGAGGATGAAAAGCAGTGGCTTTTTTTAACAATGGTCTTTCTACATTAATAGCTATCAAGAGAAAATGTGAGTCACTACCAAGTTCCAAGTGCTCAGTTGATGCTCCAACTTGGCCTAGTTATTGTCAAATAAATTCCATTTATCTGTTGAATTACAGCCCTAAGTTGCAGGGGTTTCTGAACTCAAGACAGGAAGAGAATAAATACTTCTGTTCATAGAGTCATTCATGGGGAAATATAAGTTTCAGCAAGTATTTTATATAGCAAGTTACTTGCTTTGATATTTATGGGACTCTGAGATGGGCAAAACCTGAACTCCTTACTCAGGAAAGCAACTTTTTTAAAAAAAAAACAACTAAACAACCAAAGTTCTACAGGAGAATTGTGGAACAGTGAAAACGCATGCAATGCTGCTTGTCGGCGTCCTACATCTTCCACAACCAGAAAAAAAATCACACATCAAGTTGGATAACTCTAAGTTCATATCTTTATGACACTGTAGTCAATGAATAAAAAGGCCCTAACAAAATGCAGATAGATATAAACCAAAACCGTGAGGGAAGAAATGAAGATTTCACCAGATTTCATACAGTCCTATTCAGTAGTAGCTTAACACAAAAAATAAATTGATATGCCAAATGATTGCTAGTTGTTGAACACGTAATGAAAACAGATCAATCAAATTTCAATTCCAACTTTGCCTGAGTAAGGAGAGGAGGCTTGGGTCCATACTCCCTTGTTGAAAGTCCTATAAAAATAAACAATATCCATTACAGCTACTGCTGAAAACTGCAGGAAATATACTCCAATCTTCTCAGTAAGATATTGAGAATACAGCATTCATTAGTGAAAGCAGGAAGAGATCACGTAATTCCAAATACAGTTATTTGTTCTGTGGAAAGAGAACTTGCTAAGCCACAGAAACTTAGAGAGAAAACAGCAACGTGCTTGCCCACTTTCTCTCTCTCGTAGGACATATAGAAGTATGTTTATTAATATATGAACACACATGGCGTGTTCTGCACATATTTTTAACAGCAAAGGGAAGCTGTTCCAAGAGCATTAAAATATTTTCATATGAAACGGTTATTCCGAAGCTGAATTATGCTTAAGTGTTGATCTTCTATTTGTTATGAAGAAGGAAAACTTTGATACTAACGCATCGCTTGTCAAGAGCCACTCTTAGGTCTGATGGGAGTGCAGCACACATGTGCACAAACGCTCCCAACAGCTGGGCGTGACGGCAGAATCACTACTGATCTTTTATCAGTGCATAAGAATTGTTTTTTACACCTTGGGACTTCATCTGTCACGTGGTACTTCCGTGACAAAAAGTTACAGGACACTTCACATTTGGGATAGCAGATATATCCCCACACTGTACCTTTGTGTCGACCCTCACGTGGACACTGCTACCACTGATCCTCTGTCACTGGAATTCTGTTTTCGCCCACAGAACAGACTCTTTCAGGTCTGCTCAGACCTGACCAGCAACGTTTGCTTCTCAAGGAGAGTCGTACTTCCCAGTGAAAGACATGGAGGAGGCGGACTTGCCTTCTCTCCCCCAGCAGCAGCGACAGAAGCTGGCTGGGACACCTCGGCTCACCGTCACAAACATCTCCCAAGTCAGATTCAAAGCCAAAATAAACAGGAATACAACAGGTTGCTGTGTGGGATCACAGAGGCCAAATGAAAGCAAGACTCTAGAGCGGACTGAGGAGGAAGAAAAGTTATCAAGACTGACTGTCAGTTGGGCCATCTTGCGACAAAGCCCTGAGCTGGGAAGGAGTTAGCTGGCAAAGTGCAGTATGGAGAGGCTGTGAAACTGGGTTTTTTACTCCTGAGCGTTTAGCATGGCATCTTGGTGTGTAGTGGCTCAATTAAAGCGATACTATTTCACTGTGCAACGTGGTTTGTGTTACATTTTATGATATTAATACTATTAACTATTAAAATAAGGAGGTTTTAAAAATTAATGGAAGGCTGTTACAAGATTACTATTTTGTTATTATTTTCTATTTTGTTACTATTTTCAAACACTAAGGACAGCTGCATTGGCCAATGTTACATCTACTTTTTTGTTTTTGTATGTCCCCAGGTTAAAAAAAAAACAACAAAACTTGGTTGAACGAACTGCAGAACAATTCACTGCGGATGGCATATAGCAACTGTGGGCTTAAAATTCACAAGGTTGTAATTGAAAGTCTTGCAGCTTCTCACAGTATGTTAACAAAACTAAATGCAACTGTTTGATTTCTAAGTGTGAACGTTTCACAGGAGGAGAAAAATCTGTCGATAAAGATCCTCACCATCATCTGAACACTCGAACTGGACTTCCTTTTCTGAATTGACCAGTCAGAGAGAAAGGAAAAGAAGAAAATGTGACTGCTTGGATTTGAAGTAGCAATGCATGGAGTACAGTATATTTCTGCTTTGGTTTTTGCTTTTTTTTTTTTTTCTCTAAATAAAAAATGACAGCTTAAGCTGTAAGACGGGGCGGAAAAATGCTATGAGTATACAGTATCTCAATAACAGAAATTGCAAAAATAAACATTCCCAGTGTAACTTCACTCCCTTTGCTCCACATGACCGTACAGACAAACAGCAGACACGTAAAATATGCCGAAAACCAAAGTACCAAACCCCAGCAAGTGTAATTTAGGCAAAATTTTGGCAACAATATTATAATCAAAATTGAGATACAACAACTACCATCGTAGACCTGTAGGAGGAAGGATCTTTTAAAAGGAAAAGCTGGTCAGACAGAGTAGGTAAAATGTCTACATTCCACAGTGAAGCATGTTAAGGGTATTCCACAGGAATGACAGAAGAGTACCAAGATGCTTTTCCATTTAATTAGGGTATCTACTACTTGGCACTGAGAAGCATTGAAATCGTGGTGTGCTCACTTCATTTGAAATCAGTGTCATGATTTTTTTGATAGGAAAAGTGTGAATAAGCAGGAGAACAGGAAGACATATACTACGTAACTGGCATTTAAGTGTGCAATACTTTGTTAAAGTAAAAAGTTAACATTAAATAGAAATTTAAAATTCAGGTCAAAGACACACTTCTGAGTAAACACACGGAGCACAGAAGAATATCTTTTGAATCATATAATGAAAGCTTGAGGCACTTATTTTAGTCTTCAGGAGTCCCTTGAGAAAAGAAATAAAATATTTTTCATTGCTGAGTGATTTTTTTTTTCTGTCTGTTTTTCCAAGTATTTATCCAGAATGTTCATTTGTGAAGCATCTCTCCTCCTGCAGGATCTGGTGATACGAGAACAGGAGCTCTAAATCATGTGTGAAAGCTGCCAAAATGTTCCCTTCTTAGCAAGGTCTATTAGTTAGGACGAGTTGATTTCTTGAGATACTAAATCCCTCAAGTTCTGCCAAATACAGTGAGTACATCTGGCAGAAAACACCTCATGTGGAGCCAAGCCTACCAGCAAACTTTTGGTCTTCTATGAAATCTAACGGAAATTCAAGAGGAAACATGGAGGCAATAGAGCTGCAGATAAACATCAATACCTGAAAAGCTAACATGCCCATCATCAAGCCATTATTGATATTTATAAGCTAATCAATAAACTCTGAGTCAGTAATTACACAAGCATCCTTCATTAAAACAGCAAGAAAAGCATTTTCTCCATTAGTGTTCCATCCTCCAATTACTAAAATTCTTGGTTTTCAGATATTTATCTTTTAATCTTCACTTAATAACTTTAATAACTTCAAATATATGGTAAGAAGCAAATTCTATAAAGGAAAGAAATAACAATAATCAGTTCTAGAAACTGGTAGAAGTTACAGATCAGTGGTGACCAAAAAAATCGTATTTTCTAAGCATGTGTTTAACCTACCTTAACTCCATCCGGCTTTTTCAGTAAACTCTTGGCTGCTGTAAAATGAAACAAATCTCAGTGTCAGGTGGTTACCTCCGAGGTCAACTGGCTGCAGAGCAAACCCCCGCTGCCTCCCAGCTGCAGAAACATTTTCAGCTTTTATTTCCTCCTTTTGTCGCTCCGAGCACAGGAAACAAAATCTTTAAGGAACTACGAATACTTGAGATTATCGTACATCTCTTTTTTCCATTGATTAAAGCTGTAGGTTAATTGTACTTATACAAGGAGAGACCTCCTTGGGTGGCACAGAGGAAATGGAAGCAGGGCGAGTGTAAATGCGGCAGCTTTGGATACATTCATTTTTTCAACAGTTGTCGATGGGGATAGTTTGATTGCATCGGAACTGCTGTTCCGATGGCAGGGACTCTGACAAGGTGTTTGTAGAGAGCCCACTGCTGTCTTAATTGTGTTCTTCATATGAGAGTGACATAAAAGTAACCAGGATCAGCTCAATGAGGTACCTAAAGAGCACAGGGAGGTACAACCCTATCTATTCCACCTAATGACAAGGAAGTTGACTTTTAATAACATGCTTCTTTGGGGATTTCCCACCAGGACAGCATCAGCCGCCTTGCGTGAAAAGGTCAGGAAAGTTGCAAATAAGAAAGAGAGAGCAGTCTGCTAGAGAGGTGCTGTTTTGGAGGAGACCTTCCTAGGAGGGAGCAATAACCACTGGTAGGCGTTGCTTCAACTTCTAATGAAGAAAATCTGGTATTTTCTGCATCTTGTCGCACACTGATCAAATTTCATCAAAAAAACGGACTGCTGGGCAAAATTTCACTTGTCATAACGTTATCCATGGGTTAGGCTTTAAATTCCACCACTTAAAACTGGCACCAAGCACTCCAAATTACTAAATCTGGAGGGCTACCGTGCGAAGAAGCACAGAGCAGCTCTGAATCGGAAAACATTTACACCAGAAGTCCGTGCTGGGTGACCTACCAAGTTTAAAATAAACTACTCACTAAAGCGTAAATGCTTCATGGCTCAGTGCTAAAGACTTGAAGAATAATCAATTACAAAACAAGCTGGTGTTCTTTGTTTTTATTGTCGTTTATGATGCAATCTTCCTATGGGAAAGCGTATCACGGTTTAGGCTGCGAGCAAACGGTGTTCTATGTGCGCCGGTTTGATTAGAGGTAGGAAGCACTTCTTGAAGGGAAATGCTGCAGCTAAGGATCTGGCATGGTCAAAGGGAGACAGTCCTGACATGGAGCTCCCACCATTACTGGCATCTTTCCCCTTAAAACAAACAAACAAAAACAAAACGAAACAATTGGACCTTGCAATCTTAAGGTTGCTCAAACTAGCTGAGGCTATTTGAATTATTGAGTATGAGGCTTGACCTTAATTTTTGTATTTGTGGCTTCTTCTGCAGCTACATCTGGATTAAGTGCTCAGTTAGTTCTGGTTCAGAGTAGAGAAAATGCAAGATCCCCTCAGAAACTGTACAAAAATAACTAATGTCCATTGTTGTGTCATTTACATTAAAAAAATGGAAATTGAGGCCAGGTTCATGTTTCTAATTTCATTAATTAACCCTCCAAATGCAGTTTATTAATCATGGACATCCGACAATGCAATCTTTAAAACTCTTAGAAGCCCCATGATTTACACCTAAAAGGAACAAAAAGAAATTTGCCTGAATTGCGCAACGAGACCATTGCGTGTGTTTATTTACAGAGGGACATCAATTATTATCGAAAATAAATTGGTTTACGTATGTTTTTGTGACAGGATGCATCCTGTTGCAGCATGTGCTTACAGGTCCTGATGCAACACGGCCTGAGATTTTACCGTACCACAAATGTTGTGGATGCTCTGTTAGCTTCAGAAATCCACTGAGGTAAGGTGAATGGGACAAGCTTTCTAAAACTCGAGGCCAAAAACCCCAGAAGTTCGTTGCTTTTCAAAGCCTGTTTTATACCACTAGCCCCTACAAAAATATGGGAGAAGATGAATTAGTTTTTATAAGCTGCTGTCCATACCAAGCTAGGTCCTTTTGCTACATTTGTGCATAAAACTTCTGAGTTCTTCCAGCGCTTAATCAACGTTACTTGTTGTATGTAAACAATTAAATAAGAGCCAGTAAAATGAGGACACCACGAGCAGTAACTCCAAGTAGTGTGTTTATGGCATTGCCAGCATGTGGTTTAAAAAGTGCCTGGAATGGATTATTATGCAGTATTTTACATTCTAGGACATTTTCCATACTCAACTGCTTTTGTTGGTTTTTGCTTGGAACACATTTTTAGTAATATTTTGATGCATCTTTCTTTAAGCATAGATACTGCATACAAATCAAGTATTTAAAGAATTTGCAGCAGCAAAGCAATTAGCGTGTTCTAAATTAAGCCCACAATGAAAGATTTCTTGCGACTACAAGCAATAGCTATAAATAAAACCTCAGGCATCGTTAATAGGCCAGAAAGCAGACGGAAAAGAGATGGTGTTGTGACAACGTGTAGAAATTAAAGTGATCCAGGACAAACAGCAAGTTTGATTTAGAAGAGAAAGATGTTCCTTTCACGTGCTGAGGGTCTTACCTCACAAGAAATATACATTCCACATAAAAGGAAGAAAAGGAAAATAAAACACTTTTATAACCACATCGTTATGGACAAATGACTTTCAAAAGCATGCTTTGCAATGAAACACAATGATTAAACAACGTGAGCAAATAAAACGGTATCAAAGAAAAATATGGGTCGTTACGGTGTAAAACAGAGATGACAGGTGACAAAAATCCAAAACAAAACCTCAACCCCTCTTTGCTGTTCAGGCTGAAATACTATTGTAAAATTACTTCAGCTTTTCTTGGTTGAAAGTCGAATTTGACCATTACATATATAGACAGGGACACTTATGAAGAGTGATGAGAAATGATATTTAGTAATAATTAATTTTTACAAGATATGCAGCCTACGGCATTGCCACTTTTACAATGAATCGCAGATACTGGCAATTCATTAAGCTTTAATTTACGTAACTGTAGTCTTCTGTATTATAGGTGTGTATTAAACATAGGAACTTAGAAAGGAATTGTATTTCAAGTGTTAGGCAAATTGAACAAGCTGTTCTCGCACTCGTGATTATGTAATTTATTTTGGATGGTTCTGTGCTTATTATTATTCAACACATGCCAGAAGCACTATCGTGTTTTTGTCTGTAAATTAATTTACATTACACTCCAATAGTTACACCAAAAAGTAGGAGGGTATGTAAAACTACCCGTTTTTTAATTTGAGATTCTTTTTCACTATTTGCTTGAAATGATGAATGGCAAAATTAGAAATCCAGTATAGTAGCAAAATTTTGGCAACACTACTACTAAGCACAATTTTAACTCTACTAAGAGCAAATTTATTTTAGCTTTTGCTATTAATTGTTTTTAATATAATGATCTATATGTCCAGGTATAAAGAGGAAATATCTCTTGTTATATCAAACTAGGCATTAGAAGAGAAGGAAAAGGAGGACTCATTTTACTACGTTTCTTACTCCTTAGGAAAGCAATAAAGAAAGAAAGTGGGTTTTTTCTGTTCTTTTTGTTTGTGGTTTTTTTTTTTTTAATACAGAATGCAACAGAATCCTGGAATGACATTTCAAGTATATAAAAATAAGTAAGTTTCAAAATGTTATTGTGTGATACTTATGCATGGAAACTATATGCATTATTTTCAGTTTTCCTCCACCACAACAGACAGAAAAATGTCTGGTTTTGACAGATAATACTAAGATAGTAAAGAGAAGGAACTCACATTCTACTGCAAAATTAGACTGTCAGCTACAGGAGATTCTATTTGGCCCAAATAGTTTAAATTCTCTTGTTTGCTTCTGCAAAGGAAATAACTTAAGACACATTGTATTTAGATGCTACTGAATAATAAAGATCTTTCTGTACTAACGGATGTCACTGACATCAAAACACAAAGACCAGATTAATCTGCAGCTCAATGAACATACCTGAGAAATTTCTGGTAGCCAGCATAGTTGTCAAGATGGCCCCCTGTGTACACATACATTTTCTCAGATTAGCATCACACTTGTGTAAAATTCTGAACATGAACACGACAAAACAAAAAGGAAAACATGCGAGTAAAGTACATCAACTATTAAATTAACCATAAAGACTGGATTAGCTGTGCATTACTTATCACACATGGTGCCAGGAAGTCCTAATTTGTAATTTAATCTTAATTAAACACATATCAGCAATCCTGATAATCTCAAATATTTACTGGTTGTATGTAATGCACAAATTATGAGTGTTCAGAGGCACAGTAATTAGCAGTAATATAAGTAGCTGAACAGGAAATAGACGTTACTGACGTGCTTAGATTCTTTTTTAGTAGGAAGAGGAGTTTATTTCCAATGTGCTAATTAGAAAAGTTCGTATCTGCGAAGTGACCCTGTCTTGTCAGGAGAAAACAAGATAATCTAAAAGGATAACTTTAAGAGTTTTCCTTTAACGAAAGATTTTTAATGTGTATAAATGAAGATCAGTATTATTTCAAATCCAACATCTTTCTGCTACGTTCTGTTCACTTTCAATAAAAGTTTAAGAACTTCATGCCAAAAGCTGCTCATCTATCAAACCATTCATTCAAGCACAATATTCAAGAAAAATTTGCTTAGGGACCACAGGCCAATATTCTTTTATCTGTCCAAAATTAGCTACTCACCCTTGCAGAAGTTCTTACCTTTAGTTTTCTTCTTGCATTGAATTTCTTCAGGCAATCTACAGTCTCTTGTCTGTGCATCATCGAGGCAACAGTAGAACGTTGCTAAGGGAAGAAGAATCATTTTAACACACCCAGTCAGACATCTAGCATTTTTTTTTACTCTACAAGATACATATTGCAACCCACGCGGTCCAAGGCTTAGGTCTTTAATTTCTGCCCTGTCTCACTATCTCTTTATGCAGGTTTCTACACATTTGGGGCATTTCTGAATCAACACAACTAGGGTCTCGTTTCACTCCACCTTTTCCATGTGCAATAGCCCCTTGAAAGAAACAGGGACTAAGGAAAACACAAGATCTTATGTTTACGCAGAACTTGAGTTATGGAGCATAAACATAACTGAAGGAATACACTGAATTACGATTTTAGAAAATGTTCAAAACAAGAAGGAATTTTTTCTTTAGCATTAGTGATATTAGGTGAGGTACAGCAGCAGGAAGTATTTCAGAGAGAATTCAGCAGTACCTGCATTTTCTCTCTAACTCAACTTTCTATGCATCACAATTTTCAAGGCAAGATACTGCAGCCTACTGGAACGAACAAAGAGTTGGGAACCAGTTGTGTGTCTCACTATGACTTTCAAAGAATTGGCCCAGACTAGCTGCAAACTCAAAGTGTAGAATATACCGAAAACTGGAAAGTAGTCCTGGATCCACTAGCAGACTGGCAATCTCTACTACCTGCAAAATGATTTGTAAAAAGTCCCTGAATTTCCTGCCTTTTATATCTGATGCTTATCATAATGGTTATAGGGCAATGTACAGCATTATCTAACTCAAGTCACTTTTTTGTATGTTTTCTCTCTGAGAATTTAAGATAATGCTCCAATTTTGGCAGTGAACTGCACCACAAAGTCAAGGCAAAGGAGTTCATTTCTGCGAAAATCATCCCAGGCTGAGAGCTCCGTATACGACACTATTGACTCTATCTGTGTAATTTTAATTTTACAGTCCTATAGTTTCACAGCTGCACAAGGACAAAAATTACCATCCAAACACCTTATCTATATGCTGAAGTAAACCGTAAGTGGATTTGTCTGCCAAATCGTCCTCTTAAATCTGTGAAAATTACTTACACAGATCCATGGATGCTTTAGTGCTTCTGACGCTGTGATACGTTTTGCTGGGTTGATGGTGAGCATTTTATTGATAAGGTCTTTTGCTTCAGGAGTCACTGTATCCCATTCTGGTGAAGGAAACTTAGAGAAAAAAATACTTATGTATATACCATCTTGTACAATCTTTACACAGTTTTACCTAAGGTTTTGTATTGATGCTATTTCTGTTTTAAGGGGGAAAATGCAGTTTGTCACAATTAGAAAAGTTTGAATTAGTCAGTTTTATAAACTGTTTTTCTCCTTTACTATTTAGATCTTTTATTTATTTGCTTCAAATACCTACCATTTCTACACTTAGAGTAACTTGATGGCAGTTGAAACTCACAGCACGCACAAAATAACAATGTCAGAAAGAATAACAAATTCTGACTGTCTGAGAGGCATATGGTCATACAGCACTTAATGCAGTTTATCTTGTACTAAAGATATAAATATTAAGCATTATTATTCAAAGTTTTAATACTAAGCATTATTACTCAACATTTACTATATTGAGTGGTTCATGAAGATAATGAATATTCCCCGCAAATTTAGGAAGCAATCCTATTTTCACTTTTCAACCTAGAAAAATCTCATTTACAAGTACGGATATAACTAACTGAACAGACAGAGTAAGGCACATACGTCATAAGCGCCAGCCTTGATCTGCTGGTAAAGCCTGTGCTGGTCTTCATCCCAGAAAGGAGGATATCCCACCAGGAGGATATACAGAATGACACCTGCAGAAAATTCACAGCAGTACTACATGATTTCAAGAAATCCCAGAAATTTCTGACATTTCACCCAACAACCAGGTAAAACAAATGGCTCAACAGTCTTATTCCAGCTACTGAAAAATTAGGTCTATTCATACTGCAGAAAGCAGTAAAAGTAAAGTTCACAAGATACCTTCTCATGCAGTAATAAGTATCCGACACAACACCAGACCAGGAACACTAAAAATGTCTGGCTAGCTGGAGAAATTATTTTCAATGACCATGTACATTCTAGGAAAACGCATTTTTTACTTCTAGTTTTATTAGGGCTTGTACTGATGTCTTTAAGACCTTGTTTTTACTAATTCATGCAAAGGAAAAGTGGGAAATTCAATATATTTGTATAAATACGTGGTCAATAGGAAACTAAAAAGTCCATCTGCTACTCTCAGAGAGATGATTCACTATGACTTCAGGAAAGTGCTTTCATAAATACAACCAAAAAAACGTGGGTAGGAGTGAAATAAGGAAACCACCAATTGCTCTCAGCTAGGCAGCTGCCACTTGCCAGTACCTTAAACTATGCTGTTTCAAGTACTGGACAATAAAATAATTGCTCTCTACTCCAGTTCACAAAACATTTAGCTTCACGGTTTAAAAATGCAGTTTTAGTCAGATCAGAATTTAGGCTTGTGAACCAAAATTAAGGCCCAGTCCAAAGTATGAACTGTTATATTTGCTAACTAGTTAGGCACCTGCAAATATCTTTTTAATACTTTGTGAAAGTGTGTTGTGTAAACATGGCCAAGCATTCCATGATAATACACCTTCACAAATAATAAAAACCAAATCAAGCCGGTACAATAACAAAAATCTGATAACCTCTTCTAAATATTAATATTGAATTTTACTAAATACATATTATCTGATGCAGCACATAATCTATTCTGGACATCGCCTCTCTCCTTCAAAATACTCTATGGCAGACCGAACACCACCCTTCCGAGTAATTACTTACCACACGCCCACATATCCACAGGTTTTCCATAAGGATCTTTTCGTAACACCTCTGGTGAAAGGTATCCCGGAGTACCAGCAAAGCCTGTCAAAAGGCAAAGCAACTTTACTCTCAAAAGGTGTACGTGCTCCGCAAAAATCAAGTGACTCTCATCTTGGCTCATGACACGCAGGACATTAATGCTCAAGTTTCGTTTCGAACTTCTCTTTTAACGGTGAATCATCTAGAAGTGGCAATAATGGGACAACTTATGAAGCTGGGGCATGTCCCCTTCTGCCACCACATCTGGCAGAGTCGAGAGACAGCAAAAAGCCGGCTGGCTGCACCCCTATACCAGCCCTCCAGATTCAACAGTGGTGTCAAGGACCTGGTGACAGTGCAACAGGAGAAGGTTTGCAGAGAGATTACAAGATAGCTGATGGAATTTCTTTCATGACTTCTGCATTCCTCTAAGCTGCAGTGTGACATCCAGGAGTGAGGCACAAATATATTTGGCTCGGGGTCGAGGTCAAAAAAGTTAGCAGAGCAAGGGGAATGTGGGAAACATTATCTGAGCGATCCTGTCAGAGATACTAATCCTAAAACAGAAAATTCACACCACGCATGATAAAGACTGTTACTGAGGGGTTTTTTTAATCATTAGCCTAAATTGGGCTATTTTAAAATAGCCCCAAGCTGTAAAAATTAAGGCTGTCAACATGACTTGCATGGGATTTCTGGGAGTCCATCAGCTCTCAGCGTGAACTCACCACACACCCAGTACATCCACGGACGCTGACGGGCAACTCAGCAATAAAACACAGGGACATCTAAACTACCTGAACACAGGATCAGAGAATGGTTCATCATAACTATAAAGAGCATGTAAAGAGCCCTAATTCAGCCTTTACAGGAGCAGATTTCTCAGTAAACAGTAGGTAGGCGAGATTTAAGTAAAGCTGACATACGGAGAGATCCCTCATTCAGAAGGAAAAAAGAAAGTAAAAACATTGTTGAAATTCCTTCACGCAGAAGCGGAAATGCAATTCAGCCAATGCCAGATGGTGGCAAAGTCCATGTCTGGAGACGTTCAGGATTAGATTTCACAAGAGCACAATCGGCTATTACTCACTTTGAAGACCACCAACTCGGGGCTCAGGCTTCTTACAGCCTTTGCTGCCTGTATTTCGCACTGTGACTCCTAATATGATCTTCAAACTGCAAAACTAATTTCCTTGAAGTCATTCCGCTTCTGGAAACCTCCTTACAGAAGCTGGCAAAAAGCATCTCTGAAGTAACCTAGCCTTTAACGTTTTTATGTTCTTCATTCTTTATTCATTACCAGCAGTGCTGCTTTTCTCTTAGGAGAAATGCAAAACGTAGGTAAAAACGTAGATCTTTCTTCTTAATGATAAAAACTTGATGACATTCTGTGTCATTTCAGTTAGTATCTCTGTTCTTTTGAGCACCTTTGCCTAAAATAAATGCTAAAATAAATGAGAATTTGGCAACTTCCACAAAGGACCACAGGTCATTTCTGAACACTCGATTCCACAGAGCTTATGAGCGACATAAAGTGCACAGCTACAGGAAAAGAAGCCCTTGCCCTGCGGCTGGCAATTATTTTAGGGTGGGAGGAGGAAACGCATGAACACATTCTGTATATTCTATTAAGCACACAGTTAAAATATTTTTGTGAAAAATGAGCTTGGTTTTTGCAGTCTGCTGATATGAGAGCTATGAATTTGCAGAGTACTATCATACAGGAAACACATCTTAAACTCCTTCAAGAAGCTGAAAAATATATGTTTAAAGTAGCTTTAAACAGACTGATGTTCCGTATCTCTTCTTGTCTGTAATGCTTTACATGAGTATTTTTGTTCATTTTAAAGGGGAAGTAAAGTCTTCTCAACTTGCAAACCCAGCATAGCTCCATAAATATTACTATGCGCCACTTGAAAACTTTAAACTTTAAAGCAAAAATACACTACTTAGCTAACTTTATTTCTTGATGAAGATACAGAATGGGTCTAAACATAACTAATCAGTAGTGGTTTAGTATATATTCTGAAATTTTTTAAAGCGGCAAAGACAGCAGAGTATGCACTCATGATTTCAGCGGAAAAGAACAAATACAATTAAATTGTGCACTGTTATTTATCAGTTAATTCTATAACTGGTCAGAGGGATCCCAATCCGAGTGTGTACTTTTCAGAAAATTATTGCTAATAGGAGCAATTACTTCAGCTAAAAACAACTTTTAAAGTTGGAAACTTTTTGTGACTGTACAATGTCTAGAAAAGCTGCATCACCTTGTACTCCTATGATGCTATGATTTAAATAAGCAGCCAGAGGCCTGAGCCAAATGCCGTGCTTTGCTGAATTCAGTGATGCGTGGGTACATGAGATGACACGTTACTCAGGCTAAATAGCTTACAGCCTCAAAACCCTCTTACGCAAAGATTACATATATACTTAACTTCATAAATCATGAACACTTCTCTTGAGTCAACCCTAGATTGAAGGTTAACTGTAATCCCTCAACATAAACTTAAATTAAGGCACAGAGATGCATCTTAAACACAACAGCAGAGGAGACTGCTGCTCTAAGAACCGCCCTATGCTGTCATCAGCCCCCTGCTAGACTTACAGCTTTCTCGGCACCACTCATGTAAGGATTCCAAAAGAAAATGGCAGAATCAACCACCTTAACCCGTGTGAATTGTACCTCTTTGCTAACATACTTCCCTTTGACTCGAGAATGAAAACTCAGATGGGCAGTCTGGAGAGAAGATATGGAGAAGGTGGCAGCAAGCGGCAAGAGCACGCAACTGAGAGTAAGTATAGGGCAGCAGGCTTCTCCTCCTACACAGCTGGAGCCAAAAGACTATCTGTATACAACCTAATTTTATGCAACTAGCAAACTAACTCAGTGAAGCTACTCAAATGACTTAAGCGGTGCATATTTTAGCCCTACTTGGAGGGCTAGACCTAATTTGAGGGGCACCTAGGACTAAACCTAGCTACCTGTGAGTGAACTGCAGTCTGCCCCAGACTTCAGCGATGGGCAAGGAGTCACCTGCCTGAAACTATCCCAGTATATTAAACAGCTGCTCGCAGGGCGGGGTGTTTCGACTAAACGCCGTAACACTTTCTACAAACACGGAAGGAATGGGTTTGTTTTTACAAACAGGCAAACCAGGCAAGGTTTCTGTTGTGTCCTAACACACAGAGCTCTAGCCAGCTTCCTGCTGCGGCTTAGCCGTGGTTGAAGCAGAAAAGAAAGCATCACACCAGAGCATTACATCCAAGAAAAAGAAAAAACAACAAAGAAAAAACATACTGATGCAGAGCTATAATTAGAACCAGGGCACACCATAAGTCACTAAGTGCTGCAGAATCCAGTGGAAAGCAGAAAAATCTTCTGGAAAGAAGCAAGAAAAACTTCAAAACATCAACTGGGTCTGTGCTCCTGTTCTGCCTCGTAAAAGCAGTCATAAAGATGAAGGAAGGCACTCGGACAATTACAGAAGCGTTTTGCAGAGGAAAAGGTACAGAACCCACCAGCCTTATTGAATACCACAAAGCAAAAGAAAAGAGTCACTTCAGACTACTTTTTATTATCTTGCTGCCAGCTTACCTTTTCCTATGTATATACTTTGAAGACATGCTGCTTAATCTCCTTTCTACTAAGTTCAGCGGGGCAGTCCTCCCGATGCTACACTCCTAAATCAAGCACTTCTCAAGAGCCAAATGACCAAAAAGTGCAGGATTTTGCAGGGAATTGCAACGTCCTGCACATCACCTGTATCCATACAGATGTATCATTTTGACAAAATATCCCTGAAGTCAAGTTCATTCTGCTGACCTTTTCCTTGAGATGCTTTCGGTTTACCTGATGTTTCTATCATTTTAACAAATCACTTGTTTTTTTTCTTATTTCTATTCCACTCCTTTTGTACTGGTCTATTTGTTAATGTGCAAGAGCAATCTCCTCTGTCTTTTGTGGATTACTGAAATCCATTTATATAAAGGCTGGGATTTAAAACAACGGGTTAGCTTATAAAGCCACCAACATATGTCCAACGATACTGCCTGTGCATCCACATGTAGTCATATCCTAGACTTCAAACACTCACTCTCTCAACCTACTGCCTGCAGAAAATCATTTGTGCTTTCATTCTAAGATCACAATCACTCTGCTCAGTTTTAAACTGTGCTTTCCAGATGCTGTAAGTGAGAACAGGTAGCTGCCATAAATATTTCATTCTCTGCTTTTTTCCTCCTGGGATGTTCAACAAATTCTGTCCTGTGCTGCACATCTCTTCAAAGAGGGTTGTATGTGAGATAGACACATCACCTTTGTACGTGTCCTATTATTTAAAATGACCAGTATTAAATATTTTCTACCATTTTCCTCTGGGCATCTGTTAACTGTAACAAACAACTGGCAATTAGTTGTTTTGGTTTTTTTTGTAAATTAACCCATCCCCCCCCAAAAGGAGTAGTTGAGTTGAACTGGATAGAAGTGCACAATCTTTCACCTTTGCCATCAAGTGGGCGTACTCTTGATGCCTTCCAGATGAAGGTAATATTTTCAAAACCAGTCTCAAAATTCCTGTCCGAATTTCAGAAGACGACTGTAAGCTGCAGACAGACAACCCTTTCCCAACTACCATGCAGTGTTCCAGATGCTTTTAACCACTCTTTACCTTCCTGAGTTTATGCTCTCCATGATCTACTACGTGAGTTTCTTATGTATAAGTGATTGTTTGTAAGTCAGCTCACTCTGACTGCAGTGGAACGAAGTTTTATGTACAGTTTTACATACAGTTACACTCCAAAGTATTTCAAAAATAATTTTTCAGGTATTTCCAGTTGACAGGCTCTAGATAACAAAGGGGTAGTTTGGGAGGCTTAACAACTATGCTGAATATATGATGGGGAAAAAAAAAAATATTTACTTACCAAACCAAGCCTGTTGTTCTCCTTGGACTTCTATAGCTAATCCAAAGTCCGCCAGTTTTACTGCTGCTCCCTTGGATTTGCTAGCTAAAAGTAAGTTCTCAGGCTTTATTCAGAAAGAGAAAAAAAATGAGATGAGAAGATAAGTAAACACATTTTAGACAGGTTTTCACTCTTTTTTTAGTTACGGTAGTCTGGAAAAGAACAAATACTGAGAGGACTGAAAAAGATAAAAAACCCAGGCGTTTTCTCCACGGAAGTGCACAGATTGTGCTTTCCATTCCTACACAGAAATAATCACCAGGCCTATAAACAGCCTTCATGATCCCATGACAGCGAGACTAAGGACAGTGAGTAGATCTACTAGAGAAGGAACATGGCCAGAATGGTCCTGTGGAACTGCGATACCTGTCTGTGAGACAGGACAGTTCAGAGACTCCTAAGAGCTCCCTACTTGAAAAACGCTGCAGAAACCCCTCCAAAAGACATGTATTTCTTGAATACTAGTCTATCTATGCAGTTTGCAGGATTAGGCATCTATAACTGTCAAACGCAAATATGTTTTGCATGACAGCCTAACAATAACAGACACAGTATTGTATTTGTATCTAGAGGGCAGCTGTATTTACATTGCAAATCTTTCAGCAAAAACAGCACTCTCACATTTGTGCTTGCAGAGAACCTACCACAAATAATAATGTAAGTTTGCAAGTTTCCACTTTGCTGCTTTTTTAGGGTATATTGGTCACATCTGAAATCAAACGCTACAGTACACTCACTCAGTTAAAAGTAAAGGATTTGAACATTGCAGTGGTGTTCATTCTACTGTTCACAATGTATCCTTTTAACTTCGTTTAGCAAATATATCAAATGCTAATTGTCGAAAGATAACTCTATTCTATGAAGCTTAACTTTATTTTAAAAAAAACCACTTCAGAAATACTGTAGAATTCAACAGATTATTTCAGACAGCTGTGGCCTCTACAGTATTTTCTTGCCATTTCTATCTTTATTATGCTTTAAAAAGAAAGGTTTTGTTCTACATTTACCTAATAACAAAATCTCACTTTCAAGGGTATTGCTGTCACTCCTCTAGAAGCAGTTTTTGGAGCAATCTGTCATAAGGGAATTCACTATCACCAGTCTGGCACTTGGGACCCAATCCTGCAAACTCTTAAACGCTTATTTCACTTTAAACCAAGCCGCAGTCATACAGGCTTCCAAGGGACTATTTATGCGATTACAGTTAATCCCATGCAGGTACTGAGCTTGGAAACAATTAAGATCATAAGCTTCTTTCAGCAAAGGCTATCTTTAATATAGCTGTCAAGTGTCCAGCAAAATATGCTTGAGCCTAATTAAGACCTCAATCACTGTGATACTTCCATTAATTAAAAGCACAACTGGCCCAGACAAACTCTTTAGTCTAAAGATGTTTTTTATCCTCTCACCAAACTGCAAATGAACAATTTTTCAGCAATGTACAAACACTATTCTCTCACTCACCTCTTTGTTATTCTGTCATAAAGAATACAGTATTAAAAACCTTTCCACAAATAGTTACCTGATGAATCTTCTATTTCTGCATTTTTAAAAAAGAAGATTGAGGTCTCTCAGAATAAAACCCAGTCTCTGTATTCACTCTAATAATCAGTGACCGCTTCAACTACGTGGTATCAGACACTGTTCGTAGGGCTAAAGACTCTTCTCTAGTTTCATCAACACCGATTTAAGCGATGTCACACGGCTTATCACTTAACTACACTCATTTCAACGGGCCGTTACAGAGCTCTTCAAGGCTTCCTATCAGAGTGAGAAGTTTACAGTACCTACTTCCTGGAATGCACGTCTATATAAACCTCTTAAAGCACTGGCTTGATCCGATTTGGCTGTGACCTTCAGCAAGCCAAAAGCAGTGACACGCCTCGCCCCCTCTGAAACAGAAGCGCTAACCTACCGAGCACACACCACTCCGCAACACGTGTTTCCGTACACAACAGCAGTTTTGCCTTTTCTGCTGCTGCTGGGTTTTTTTGGTTGTGTTTAAATTTTTTTTTATTCCATTACATGCCTTTACTCTGCCAATCCAAGTGCTCTGCAGACATACCATTAGCACCGGGCGAGTACGTTTCCACAGAACCTGAAGCACATTTTCGGACTGACTCCTACACCACAGACAACAGCGTTTGGGGTGATGCTGTGTGGGACTATGCGCTTCAACAAAATGCAGCTGTGATTTCAGCGTGACCAGGGGCATACTGGGTAATTAGCATGCATTAACTTAGAATGACTGCAATTACTTGGCAAACATTAACAGCCCAGTGTGGGCCATGCAGGGCTCATCCTCTGGATTCAGTAGAGTCACCTTGTGTTACCGGGAGGCTGGTCGCAGTCAAGCATGTAGAATGGCAGGGTTAACTACTAAAAGTACTTACAAATAAATTAACGTGATTTATGCCTTATTTTTCTAAAGGTCTCGAATTCTTAGAGAAAATGTCCATATGCCTCTGTGTGTTTTTCCTTGAATATAACTAGAGTTTTTGCATGGGGAGTGCAGAAGGGTTATAATCCCGGAGTTTCACAAAAGCAGCAATGCTGCTGCCTGCCAAGAACCGGAATTCCTAGATGGAGGTGCGCCTTCGCTGTCTGTTAAAGACAGGCTGCCACTAACTGGTTAGCATTTTCTGGATCTAGGACCCACTGCCATTCTGACTTATACCAAGGATTACAAACAGAGCAACAACAAGCACTTCTGCAGGTCATAAGGGGCCGCAGAAGCTCCTCTCTGTTCACTGCTATGTTACACTAAAAGGAAAGTTAAATCAAATGAGATTGTCCAAAATTTCCTCCTCTTGTTGCCCTCCCCACCCCCAAACATGCCACGAAATTGTGGTCTGAGTTATTGGGGAAAAAGTCCATCAAGTTTTGCAATCTGAGGATCCGTGCCAGGTCATAACCATCTTTATGTGTCTTGTAGTTCTGGTCTTGGGCCGCACCAAATTTTCGGTACAGTAAGTTCTGCTGGGATTTCACCACAGCCCTTTCATTTCACTCTTTGTTTTTTTTTCCGTTTGCCACAGAGTAGTAAGTGAAGAAGGATGGTTTTCTGCTTCCTGAAGTCTTCACTTTCAGAAATGAAACTGGGTACTACAGCTTGGCCGAAACATTTTTTCTCACACTGTTTTTCCAGTTCATCCTGGATTTGCCAGAGTAAGAAATGCACACATGGTTTGGAGCAGGGAACAGCTGGATTTAATGCACTTCCAAAGAGAAAGTTATTTTGTGTGAACATATCAAAAGCATTCCTTGTTCAGTCAGCTTGCACGGCTACACTTTTTTTTTCCATTCCTTTTCATGCTAGGAGCATAGTCCTGCATGCAGAGGGAGGACAGGAATCGCTGGAGCAGCTGGACAAATGTGATATCCTTTCATTTCAACTTGTTCCATGTGATCCAGCTGCCACACAAGATTTATAGATTGGAGAGAGACTTGTCAGTCTCTCGCTGTACAACCGTGACACGGGAAAACCCAGAAGCACAAAATGGATAAAGAATTTTGTTCATATGTCTTAGAAATCCATCACGCGCCCTGAGCTTTCAGAGCGTAACCCTTTATGCTCCTGTAGGACAACAATAGAGACGTTATAAATTCTGCCGATGACTCCAACAGTTGTTTATCTGGAGTGAAGGCTGGCAAGAAAGATGACGGTATTCCGATGCCAATGGTATTACTAATGATAACCGCTAGAAAACTCCTATCCTGGGAGGGAATTCCTGCTCCCCGTAACTCTCTCAGAAAGGAAAATAAGAGATAAATAACCTATGCCAGAAGGAATTAGCACGTTTCGCTGTATTACCCCACAAGCCATTTACTCCCTGTTTTTGTAAAGAACCTGATATGTCAGGCAGTGCACTTCCGTTGGTTTTCAAAATAAATACTTTTGTTTTACTTGAGGATCTTGAGGCCCAAGTGCCCAAATTAAGTTCTCTCCCTTATCCACAGGGCTAGCTCACTACCAGCTTTGAGACAGACTCCTCCCTCTGAGCTTTGTGATTAAAAAAACCCCTGATATTTACTTATTTCTTTCCATGCCAACGTGCTCTGTATGCACAGAACATTTCTGCATCAGGCGTCTCCAGCCATTCGGGCGCACGCACAGTTAAGGAAGAGGTAATGCTCTTCTCCACACTAGAGTTTTCTTTCAGAAGCTTCTATCCCAATGCTACTGATTGTCCGGAAGGAACTTGACTCCTCGGGTGATCATGGTGAGAACACGGTGGAAATTCCTATTTTCTAAAGATGTTCATCATCTGGAGGAGAGAGAGGTCTTGGTGCCAGCAGTGTCATAGCAGTCAGCCTTTTTGTCACTAGAAGGCGTGACATGCAAACGCTAGCACGCTTCCCAGAAGCACTCCAAGTCGCGCAGGTGAGAGATGGAAAGTTCCCCCCACAGCCTGCCCCAAAACTCTGGAGGACAGAGAGGAAGACCGTATATTCAACAAATACACCAAATGCTTGGAAAGCAACTCCTGTCCTCCCCGGCACTGGTGCCAGGAGACTCAGATCTGGACAGCTAGGTATTTGCAAGCCTTTAGCAGATGCTCTCCAGTGAACGCTAGCGGTTCGTTCTTGTGCAAAGGTGAAGGGGACAAAAAAAATTAGGGGAGGGGAAAAAAAAGAAAAAGAGAAAGGGGAACCGTTTACACCACTTCCAGGGACGAAGGCTCTCTTTTCGCTAGGGTTTGCTGCTCCTGGGCGGGGCAGCAGCAGCACTCACCTTGAGGTCGCGATGGACAACGCCCATCTGATGGCAGTGGAGCACAGCCTCCAGGATCTGCTGAATGCAATGACTGCATGCAAACACCAGGGGCGCGTGTTAGTTCCAAGCG